TCACTTTAAGAGTGGTATGGTGCTTAAGGAAATTGAAAGTAGCTAAGCTCCTCTGCCCCCTGGTCTCTGAAACTTGAATTCAAAATCATTCAATTTGTTTAAAAATTATCCTGCACCAATAGATCCCTTAATAGCTGGCATTTTGTGGAAGTAGAAAAGTGCAGTAGTTAAAGGATTGTATCGAGCATATCTATGCAACAGTGAGAGTACACCGCAAAGGTGATGACCGAAATTGATTTGATTTGACGTTAAACTGAATTTACTGCTGTTAAATTATTTTGAGGTTTGGTTTAAAATTTGTTTCGTGGATTGTTTTGTTAAATCCAATTTAATGATGCATGAATAATGAACAATTGAAAATAAAAATAAGTTATTGAAAATGCCTCCAATACATAGATATTTTCATTTAATTAATTTAATTAATTTCATTTGATAAAGTAGAGTGAGGGTAGTATGTCATTCATAGATATTTTAAGATGAATTTAGCATTAAACTATTGCCATTTTTTGATAATGTTAGCTTTTTCAAGTATTTTAAAGATTCTACTGTGTGCCTTCAAGCGCTTCCAGCGAATACTTTGGATTTCCATAATGTGATCATAGGCTGTAAGCTAAACTATTGGCATCTTAGCAAAACACCACCTGTGCTGTGCAATTGAACCGTTATTACTTCAGTGTTAGCAGGGGATATTGATATTTGTCTCCTTGCTTTTGTGAAATTTGTTTTCATTATGAAAGGACAATTTGAGATTTTGCAACCTAATGTTTGGAGTTTTTGAATGCCAGTTTCCAGGAGTGTTGATGCAGCACTTGAGAGCAGCAACATGCTATAGCAAAACAGTAGAATGTAATTTTCCACCTGTTTTTAAAATAGCAAAGTAAGTTTCACATACTTGCCATTGAAACATAGTAAATCAGCAAATCAGTTGTGCAATTGACTCACTGCTAACATACGATAATACAAAATTTCTTAACTGGGTAACATTTGTAGGTTTAAAGATACTCACTCATGCAATATTTGAGTAAAACTCAACTTTATCCCTTAAATATTATTTGTGCATCAGCTAAGGTATTCAGTGATGAGTGACTTTGCTAGTTGCATGATTGATTTTTGTTCGAAACCGTTATTAGCTGGGAGCCAAACTGATAATCAAGATTGCAAAATACTGAGTTATACCTCAGCATCAGTAAAGGCTACATCACATGACAAGTCAGACTTTTAAAATATCAAATAGATTTACTTTTCAATTACTGAAACCTACTACTTGAACTTCCCCTTTAGGAAGGTAATTTTTCAATTAAGTACACCTTATGGAGTTAATCTGCGGAATGAGTAAAATTTGCAGTTAATGAAAATTGATCATGCACAATAAGAAAGCAGAGAAGAAAATGATATTCATAGGTAAATGGCTCATTGCTTTGCTTAACTTAGCGAAGTGTGGAAGTGATTCAATCCTGGACAAGCTGGCCAATGGAAACTTCGAGTCCTGTTTCAGATTTTAGTTGTAATCATCATAGCTTAATGCCACCGGAAATAACTCTATTTAGGTAAGGTTGTAAAACAAGATTTTGTTTCTGATTCAAGGGGGGAAACTAACAAAAAAAAGTTGGGGATAACTTTGTATCACAATAACATTATGTTCAAATAATGAGATAGCTTTGTGTTATGAAAACTCTGGCAACAATTTTATTATGTTATCAATTTGTGTCATGATGTGGCAAGATCCACCAATTATAAGGTGTCAGTGATTCTTCAAAAGGATGTGGTGTTAACATAAAGATCTCTTCAAATGGCTTTAACATTTTCTTTTTATTTTTAAAAAAAAGCATCTGCCAGATAAAAAGGTGGGCAAACGTAGGAGGTATACTTTGCCCTATTGTCTGTCTGTCTGTCTTAACAGTCATTATTTTTCTTCATGGGTAGCAAGTCAGCATATTGTGGGTCATCCTCCTTATCTGTTCTGTAGGAGGGATGATACACGAATACTGAAGCATTCTTACACATTTGTTCTTGGAGCCAGCAGTCTGGATTAGCTAGTAAAATTACAGTAACTCTGTTTTCCTACACTCTGAATACTTCAGAAAACATTTCACCAAATATTACTTAAGGGCAAGTCACCACAGATTAGTAAATATTCACAGTAGTAAAGAAGAACATGGATGATGGTAAAATTAGGGAGGGGTGTGATAATATTCTAGGGCATGTCAGTAATAATGAGGAGGACACTGAGGGAGGCAAAGGAGGAGATTTCTGCAGCCTTGATAGAAACCTTTGTGTCCTCTTTAGCCCCAGGTGAGGTCCCAGAAGACTGGAGAATAGCTAGTATTGTTCCTCTGTTTAAGAAGAGTAACTAGGATAATCTAGGAAATTGTAGGCTGGTGAGCCTTACTTCAGCGGTAGGGAAATTATTGGAGAAGATTCTTTGGGCCAGGATTTACTCACATTTGGAGAAGAATGGACTTATTAAGGATAATCGACATGTCTTTGTGAGGGGTAGCTCTTAAGAAATTGATTGGGATTTTCAAAGAAGTGATAAAGATGATTGAGTGTAGGGTGATGGATGCTGTTTGCATGGACTTTACTCGAGCATTTGACAAGGTCCCTTGAGGTCGGCTGGTCCAGTAGATTAAAACACGTGATCCACGGTAAGATTGTTCTGAAGAAGTGTCACCGGACCCGAAACATTAACTCTGTTTTCCCCTCCACAGATGCTGCCAGACCTGCTGAGCTTTTCCAGCAACTTTGTTTTTGTTCAAGGTTGTTTACAAAATTGGCTTGGTCATATAAGACAGAGGGCTGTTGTGGAGATGTGTTTTTCTGACTGGAGGTCTGGGACCAGTGGTATTCTGCAGGGATCAGAGTTTGTAATTTGTGTAAATGATTTGGCTGAAAATATAGGTGATCTGATTAGTAAGTTTTCAGACGACATGAAAATTGGTGGAGTTGCCGATAATGAGTAAGGTTGTCAAAGGATACAGCAATAGATACAGCTGAATTCCAGAGGTGAGGTGAGAGTGACAACCCTCAATGTCAAGGCCACTTTCAACCAAGGGTTGCATCAAGATGTGTCTTACCAAAACTGGAATCAGGGGGTATTAGGGGCAAACTCTCCACTGGTTGGAGTCATATTTGGCACATAGGAAGATGATTGTGCTCGTTGGAGGTCAGTCATCTCAGCTGCAGGATGTTTCTCTAGGAATTCCTTAGGCCCAGCCGTCTTCAGCTGCTTCATCAACTCCCTCCATCATAAAGTCAGAAATGGAGATGTTCACCGATGATTGCACAATATTCGGAACCATTTGAGTTTCCTCCAATACTAAAGCAGTCAGTGTTCAAATGCAACAAGATCTGGATAATATTCAGGCTTGGGCTGACAAGTTGCAGGTAAAGTTCGCACCACACAAAAGCCAGGCAATGTTCGTCTCCAATAAGAGACAATCTAACCATCGTCCGTTGATATTCAATTCAGTCCCTACGAATCAACATCCTGGGGTTTACGATTGATCAGAAACTCAACTGGACTCGCCACATAAGCACAGTGGCTACAAGATTAGGTCAGAGATCAGGAATACTGCGGCGAGCAACTTGCCTCGATACAGTCCAAAGCCTGTCCACCATCTACAAGGCACAAGTTTGCAATGTGATGGAATACTCCCCACTTGCCTGGATGAGTGCAGCTCCAACAACACTAAAACTCGACACCATCCAGGACAAAGCAGCCTGTTTGATTGGCACCACATTCACAAACACCCACTCATTCCACCACCGACACCCAGTAGTAGCATTGTGTACTATCTGCAAGATGCACTGCAGAAATTCACCAGAGATCCTTAGACAGCACCTCCTGAGCCACAACCACTTCCATCTAGAAGGACTAGGGCAGCAGATATTTGGGAACACTATCACCCGGAAGTTCCCCTCCAAGCCAGTCACCATCCTGACCTGGAAGTAAACCACTCTTCCCTTCACTGTTGCTGTGTCAAAATCCTAGAGTTGTCTCCTTACCTGCATTGTGGATCAATCTACAGCATATGGACTGCGGCCGTTCAAGAAGGTAGCTCATCGCCACCTTCTCAAGGGCAGCTAGAGATGTGCAATAAATAGTGGCTATCCAGCGATGCCCACGTCCCATTACTGAATTAAAAATGGATATAGATCAGTTCATAAGTTGGGCAAAGAAATAGCACATGGATTTTAATCCAGACAAGCGTGAGGTGGCATATTTTGGAAGGTCAAAAGGAAGAAAAAAGAATGCAGTAAATGGCAAGACCCTTAGGAGTATTGACATACAGAGAGATCTTGGGGTGCAAATCCATAGCTCCCTGAAAGTGGCAACGCAAGTGTATAAGGTGGTAAAGAAGGCATGTGGCATGCTTGTCTTCATCGGTCAGGGCATTAAATATATAAGTTGACAAGTCATGTTGCAGCTACGTAGAATTTTAGTTAGACATTTGGAGTACTGTTCTGATCATCACACTATGCGAAGGAAGTGGAGCCTTTGGAGAGGGTACAAAAGAAGTTTACCAGGATATCGCCTGGATTGGGATGTGTTAGCTATAATACGTTGGACAAACTGGACTGCTTTTGCTAAAGCATCAGATCCTGAAGGGCAACCTGATAGAAGTACATAAAATTATGAGAGGCATAGGTAAGGTGAATAGTTGGATTTTTTTTTTCCAGGGTGGAAATGTCAGATTCTAGGGGACATAGGTGTAAAGTGAGAGGGTGAAAGTTTCGAGGAGGTGAGCGAGGTAGTTTTTTTATGCAGAGTGTGGTACGTGACTGGAGCTCGCTGCCAGGAGAGGTGGTAGAAGCATACAATGTTTAAGCGGCATTTAGATAGGCACAAAAACAGACAGGAAATCGAGGGATATGGACCATGTGCAGGCAGATAAGATTAGTTTGCAATGGCATCATGGTTAGCATAGACATGGTGGGCCAAAGGGCCTGTTCCTGTGCTATACTGTTCTATGTTCTAAATTATTTCAATCATTTGGAAGATTGATATTTCTTTTCGTGCCCACTGTAGGGGATGAAGAAACTGCAAAAACTTCTGACGATGTTAGTTTGAGCCTGGGTCAGAGCTGCAGTTTGTACAAAGATGCGAATGAGGAACAAGGTGAGCTTGGACTGCAGGTAATAGACTGGCAAACAATACAAAGCTTTTTCTTACATTTGGGAAATATCTGCGCAGTATCTTGCTGACATTCTATTTCATTTCATGTAAAATCGCCAAGTTTATTGTTGCGTAATAGTTTATTTTGAGGAAGAATGCAATTTGAACCTTGATCTGTTTCCACGAGGTATAGCTTAACAGTAAACATGAATCTGATAAGTTAGCTTAATTAAATTGTGCAAAGGTTTAGTGGAGCATTCAGATTTTGCAAGTAATATCTCTGTACCAGTACTCTAGAAAGAGGAACTGTTTCATTTAAAAAATGCTCCACTTAAACTGGATTGGAATTGGCATCCTGGCAAGTTCTGACTAGTGGATAGGACTTTATATTGACAAACATTTAGAAGTGATTTAGAAATATGAAGGGAGTAGTCAAAGCAAAAGAGTAGTGCAATGATTTGGATAAAGCCAAACAGAATTACATAGGAAAGGTAAGACTAATGGTTAAGGGTGTGTTAGCATACAATGTCCGTGCAACCATAGTGGTTTTAAGAAAAGACTGTTTATTGCAATGAACAAAACATTCACAATAACATGGCCAAACAAGTAGTGCAAAAAGAGATAAATAGGTTTCATCTAATCTTGTTTACAGAGATGCGGTTGCAACTTGACTATGTTTGGGCAAAATATTCTAGGATACTGAACATTTTGAAAAGACAGAGTGGAAGATGAAGAAGAGTCAATTGAAAATAAAGAATGATAAGAGCAGTAGAAAGAAATGATCTTGGCTCAGAAGACCAGGAAGTAGGATCACTACTGGGGGAGATTAGGAATAACAAAGGTCAAGAAATTTTTGTGAGATTAATTTATAGACCCCCTAAAACAAAAAGATTATTCTGTTTGACAGTACTTGAAGAAGAAATAATTGGAACTTGTAACAAAGGCAAGAAATAAACATGGGGAATTAAGTTTTTTCAGGTCACTGGACAAATAAAATTAGCAATGTCATCTGGAAGATGATCAATGGTCTACCAGGAAAGTTAAGGATAGGATAGATTAAAGTTTGTGTATGTTATTGAGAAGAGTAGTATTAAGCCTGAGCATTGAGAGTCTTTATATATCAGGAAAGGGTAATCTAAAAGTTGAGATATAGGGCAAGGAATAATGCAGGAGTAAACTAGCTATGAATATAAAAGAAGCATGTAAGAACATTTACGTGTGTGTACATAAGGAGGAGATTAGTTAAAGTCTTTAGATACAGAAACAGGAGAAATTATTACAGAAAATGAGGTAGAGATGTTGGACAAATAATTTGTCATATCAGAACTATAAGATAATTAAGCAAGTTAAAGGATCCAGAAACTTTAAAGAAATAAACAAAGAATAAGAGCTACAAGAACTAAAGTGACTGAACACTGACAAATCTGCAAGACCTGGTGGGTTACATCCTAGAGTTTTAAGCAAGGTAGCTGTAGGGATAATGAGTGTACTGTCTCTACCTGTTCTCCAATTATGATTTTTTAAAATTTCCTGGATTGTGGAATGGCTTGAATGGATTGAGAGTTCCCAAATGTTACACTACTATTCAAGAAATTAGGGCAGAAAGAAAATTAAACGATCGGCTAGTTAGCTTGACATCAGTACTGAGAAAAATGCTGAAATCTATTTTTAAGCAAGCTTTGACAATGCACTTAGGAAAATTTTGATATAATCAGACAGAGTCAGCATACTTTTAAAAAGTTGAGCTTGATTAATTGGGGATATAGCTAGCAGGATAGGTAAAGGATAACTGGTAGCTGAAGTGTACTTAGTTCAAAAGGCAGTCTGTAAAGTGCCACATGACGACAGATTAATATGCAAAGTATGTGACCATGGAGTTGAAATTTATAAAAATATTCAGTTTTCCTTATGACTTATCCCGTTGTCCCACATTAAACTCCATCTGTTATGTTATTGCCTACTCATGTACCCTGTGTGTCTTCATTCCTTTTCAGATCATTGGGCACAGTTTTAATGTTAAATGAATGGATTGAAAATGTTGTCCCATGTGTCCACCCCACAGCTTGCTTTCCCACTTACCTTTATCGGGAAAGGTTGCAGGAAATCCCTCCACTACACTTGGAACCTTTCCCTGCAACTACAGGAGGTGCAACACCTGCCCCTACACCTCCGTCGTAATCCCAAATGATCCTTTCAATCCAGCAGAGGTTTACCTACACTGCATCTAACCTCATCTACTGTATTCGTTGCTCCCGATGTGGTTCTCTATATATCGGGAAGACCAAACACAAACTCCGGGACCGGTTCACGGACCACCTGAGCTCTGCACACACCAACCAACCCGACCTTCTGGTTGCCATCCACTCTAACTCCCTCTCCCACTCCCCTGGTGACATGTCCATCCTTGGTTTCCTTCACTGTCAGAGTGAGGCCAAATGTAAACTGGAGGAACAACACTTCACATTTTGCCTTGGGCATTTACGGCCCAATGGCCTGAATATTGACTTTACCAGCTTCAAAATCTTTCCAACCCCAACCTGTCCATCTTTTGACTCACCTATCCACTCCACCTTCCCACTGACCAACTACAATAACTCCCTACCTACATCCACCTATCCCTATCCCACCTACCCTTCCCCCAGCCCCCACCTCACCCCCTATTTATATCTGGCTCCCCTCCCTCCAAGACCTGACGAAAGGCTTTGACCCGAAACGTAGATTTCCATGCTCCTTGGATGCTGTCTAACCTGCTATGCTTTTTGAGCTCCACGTTTATTGACTCTAGCTTCCAGCATCTGCAGTCCTTACTGTCTCCGGGTCAGGGAGAGAGGCAGGGATGGGAGGGGTGATGATCTAGATGTTTGGGAGGGAGACTGCGAGCAAATGATGTGGTGTGTTGGGAGTTTGGGGAGGGAAGTGGCAAGCATAAGGTTGTTTTTTAATGAAGACTCAATAATTGTATTTAACTCAAAATGCAATTAGTACATTTTGGAGATTGTTGCATGCAAAACTGAAAATGTGCATGCACGTTAACTTTTGCTCAGAAGAACCCATTTAATTTAATCTTTATTAGGCAGTGAGGCCAACTTAATCCGCAGAGAAGGGTGGCTATTGCTATTGAAAGGCAGTGTACTGAGGCAATGCTCATGACACAAAAACAGAATTTTGTGGAAAAACTCCGGAGGTCTGGTGTCATCTGTGGAGAGAAATTAGGGTTAATGTTACGGGTCCAGTGACCCTACTTTAGAACAATGCTAATGGCTCTGATTTTTAAAAAGTCTAGTGAATAATTAGTGAAGCACATAACTGGAGTACAAATAATAGATAACGATTTCAGTTTCTTTTGCATTAAGAAGGCTGAAGCATTTTCTTCATGCTTGCACTCAACCCGACAATCACAAAACCTTTGCACTCACAATTAACTCCATTCCCCTTCTGGTCACCGTCTCAACCTCGACCAGACTACAACCTTGGTGTCAAAGGCAAAGTTTAGGCAATCGATCATTCCTATTACAAGACTGTTCTTTTCTGCGTTCATAAGATCACCCATTTTAGTTCATCTTCCGCTGAGATTCTTATCCATTCGTTTGTTATTTTAGACTCACATGTTTGAAGGTCCCTTGGCTAAACACTTGACCATTGCTCTCCATAAACTTAAACCCATGCAATATTGTCCTACTTATCCATATCCATCCCTTTTGTCAATAACCTCTGGCTCCCAACACAACCACTTCCCATCTTTTTGCTTAAAATCCCCTCATGATCTTGTCACCTTATTTCGGCAAAAACCCCTAAATTTCTAATCCCTTTTGTCACTCTCTGTTCGTCCACCTCCAATCTGTTGTGCTGTTGCATGTTTTCCATTTCTGTCATGTCTCATAACTTTTTTCCTGTGTTAAAGGTGTAATTTGAAAGCAAGTCAGAAACATTAGCCTTGGCTCACTACTTTCACAACTCGGTCGATCTAAAGTTCAAGTTATGAAGTGTAAAGTATTGTGTGATAATCTTAGTTAATGGGATTTGTACAGTTTAATTCTTTATTACCATGATGTGATGACAATAGGATCTGTTTCTAATGATTAACCATAAGTGTGTTGGAAGTTATACAAACTTTTGACGCTTGCCCTTTCTTCCCACAGAGTTGACACTCGATTCCAAGCTTTTCCAAGTTGTGCCAAATGATTCTTTCATGTCTAACAACACGCTAACATCTTCAGGTGCTCAAGACTTTCCAGTGGATCCAAATGACAACATGTGCTACCACCATGTAGACCATTCATTGTCAGCTGCCTGTGATACAGAAGCAGCCGCCGTTGTACCCTTGCATTCCCTGTCTTACAGGAAAGACCATAGGCCTAGGGGTGTGCCAAGGACTTCAAGTTCAGCAGTGGCTTTTCCTGACACATCTCTTAGTGATTTTGCTCTCTTTCAGCAAAGGAGAGGATTAGACACTGTCTGTGAATTAGAAGGTTCCAAACCACTTTCAGGATCCAAGGACTCATTGACTGAAAACTCTTGTTGTGCTGGCGTTTTTCAGCTAGATGACTTACACAAAAGTGGTGCTTCCCAGCCGTCATCCAAATCGGAAGTTAGTAAGCCTCTAAAAACAGATAATAGCGTTGGTAGCTTGCAGAGTCTCAGCACGAGAAGTAGTGGGTCAACGGAAAGCTACTGTAGTGGGACAGATCGAGACACTAATAGTACCATCAGCAGTTATAAGAGTGAGCAAACGAGCTCAACCCATGTGGAGAGCATTCTTTCAGAGCAAGCAGAAACCTCAGCAGATGAGCACAGCTCCGAGAAAAAACATTGTGGGAAAAACGGGTATGGTAGTGAACCAGAAGGAACCAGCACTGTGGAAAAAAGGACTAATGGCAAAAGAATAAAATTACATGCTACAGGTAAAGATGAAAGTTGCAGTCAAGATCTTGGGCAGGCTTCTGACCCGACACAGACTTCTGATCAGATGCAGACTTCTGGCCCAGTGGAAACTGGAGAGAAGCTCAATGGGTCAGGTGATGCCAACAAAAACCCTCACGCTAATGAATTGACCATAGATATACGGAAACAACAAGGTGGGCCACTTAAAGAGGCAGTGACTGAGCAAGCAGTAGAAGAGGTTGTTGAAAAGCCTTCTCTCTCAATTGATATACAAACACTAAAGGATGAAGCTGTTAAGCAAAATGATGGGGATGTGAGGCCTAAGTCTTCTAACTTTATTCACCGAGCTGCTTCTACACATAAGTCAAACCGGAGAAAGATGGGGAAGAAAAGAGCAAGCAGTTTCGATTCAGGTCGGCATAGGGAGTATGTGTCCTTTCGTGCCGTGGCTGGTGTCAAAACTAGCAATAGCAGTTTTTGTCCAGATGAGGACTCGAGTGATCAAAGTGATCTGAGCAGGACCTCCAGCATGCATTCAGCACATCGTTTCAGTTCAGACAGCTCATCCAGCACCACCTCGCATTCGTGCCATTCTCCTGAAGGGCGATATCATGTTTTAAAAGCAAAGTACTTGACTCGAGAAAGAGGCACAGACTCTGAGGCCACATTAAAGGTTCATTCTGGTTCAGAAAGCTGTGCAAATGCCAGGAGAAGATCAACACGGAGGACTCTTAGTGCATCCAGTGCCAAGACTCATGCAAGAGTGCTGAGCTTGGACAGTGGCACAGCAGCCTGTTTAAGTGACCCCAGCAGACTAGGAACACCAGATAAAGCACGGCCTTTAACAACATCTAAATCAGATTTGGAAGCCAAGGAGGGAGAGGTATTAGATGAGCTGTCTCTTATAGGCAGAGCTTCACAACTAGAATCAGTAACTCGTTCAAGAAATAGTTTGCCTAGTCAAGTAACCTTTCCTGAAGTAGAAGACCAAGGGGCAACCAGTGGAGGTAGGTTGCTTGTTAACTAAATTATGACTTTATGAACAAATATTTTTAATATAAAGTGAACTGTTTTTCTCAGCTTCACTTTGCATTGAATTCTTATTACAGTTAAGTTTCAGTTGAAATATTTTGCAGCATTGGGAATATTAGTTCTACATTTGCTTGTAAAATGTACTCCCATTGAGTTGATACTGTCTCTCATGGAATGTGCACAGCTGCCACCAGTGTAGTAATAACAGGCTGAACGCTGAGCTCAGTGTCTAGCAGCCAGTAATGTTAAGGAAGTTGGTAATTAACATTTGGAATGCAGTAATGCACTTTAAATTGAATGCACTGATAGGATTACATATAAAACAAAATTCAATGAATGTAGCACTACAGTTCAGTCAAAATTCAAGCATAAACTGGCAGGACTAGGTTATTAAAGAATAACTTCTGGGATGAATACCTAATGACTACAGTTATTTAACATAATTAGAGCATGCTTTTTTGCCTGACACGACATAATGCCCACAACACTGCTTTCAAAAGGTTAACATAGCTGTATATTGAGATGGTTTTGTCAAATAACTACAAAACTGAAGTTTTCCAGTGTTCATCCTGGTAAAGCACAGTGCTTTAAACAGGACTGAGTGGCGAATCTTTACTGCCAACAGTACAGGAAGAAATGAATGCTAATTAACTGCTCATAAATAGTAAACAGATACTAATGATGCAAAGCAAGGAATTCTGAAAGAATACCGTTTTGCTATATGCTAAAAGAAATTATGTTTATAGATTGTTGAGTGATCATTTCTTTTGACGAGGAAGTGAAATTGACTTTAAAACACTTTCAGATGAACTTGCCATACTTCTTGCATATATAATCCAAAATAATTTTGTTAGAGAGATCTGATCCATGATTGAAGTAAGTGCCCAAATTAGAAAGTCCACTGGCCCATCAGGATTCTAAATTATGTACAAATCTGTTATGGTCTTGGAAATAGTGTCTGTTCTCTGACTCTCATTATCAGCTGTTCTCATCATAATTATTTAATTTGGAGAATTTTCTTTCCATGACTTTCATTATGTATTTTAGAAGCTTTGGTTCTGTTTCCACTCAGTTTAATCTCTAAGAGTATAATTGAAATTCTCCAAAACACAGTTAATATATATTTTTTAAATTCTCACAGTTCTCCTTTCTGATTTTCTGCAGTCTGAGTTGTAGCATGTTGGGTCTGCGCTTGGTCTCATCGATGGGGAAATAAAGTTGGAATCTTTCTGCACTTCCTTTCTCATAACCTCTATGTATCTAGCTGGTCAATACATGTGTATCATTTTTAAAATGGTTATATACTTGGGAAGGATAAGGTGGAATTTTCTGTTAAGTCTCTTCATCTCATTAGTTTCTGTTGACTTTCCCAAGCTATTCAACAGTTGCTAGCAGATGGGCTTTTAGAAATATCCCACTGCCAAATTGGTCTGCCAATAACAGATATTACTGAGCAGCTCTAGAATGCATTTCTAATTTCCCTTTTGCATTGTGGAAATGTCCTTACCCTTCACTTGGAACCACTTGCAGTACGGTTAGTGAAATTGCGTGAGAGCATTGTGGTGTAACATGGAGCTGAGTAGAAAATAAATCCTGTATTCCACAATGACACTGATATGTTGATATTTTAGAGTTGGGGGTTGTGTTCCTTTTAATACATTGGTTGGGCATAATTAGTGAAAGATCCTTGAAAATCAGTTGCAAAATGGCAAATAATATTTTTAGGTATAAGCAACTATAATTTACAGATATTAGTAATGAGTTCTGAATGCATTAGTGTGCAGTTCCTTTGCTATTTTAATGAAGGTGTCAAACTGTATTTCAATGCTTCATGGAAATTGTCATATTTCTGGGAGTATTTTTCTGAATTTTGTACTTTACCTTGTCATTACCTTGCAAATGAAGATGCTTCAGTCCTTAGGACTCTAAGTAGTTTTAAATATGGACTGTCTTCATCAAATCAAAACTGCTGTGAGCAAGGTTAAACTTACTAATAAATTTGAATTTAATCTTTGCTCAACACTACCATTGACCATACTGTTTCAGTGTGTCTAGAATTCAGTTTATCCCAATTGTGTATTAAGTTTTACTTTGATTCCTTGAATAAAACAAAAACCTTGCGTTAATTGCTGGCTAGTTTGAAGTATCAACTATGGCGTAATTAATAGCATTCTTGCCTCTAGGCCACCAGATCTTGGGACCCAACTGTCACTTCAGGGCTTAAGCATAAAATCAAAGTAGGCACTCTAGTGTAATTGTGAGAGAGTGCTGCACTGTTGAAAGTGCCATCTTTGAGAGATGTTAAACTGAGATCCGCTTGGATATGTAAAAGTTCCCACTATCCTGCCAATATTCATACCGTAGTCAACATCATAAAAAAAATTCTGATCATTATCATGTCAAGCGTTCGCTGTGGATAAATGGAGTTCCATGTTTCTTATATTACTACAATGTCTACATGACAAAGATACTTTGTTAGCCTTAAAAAATGCTATTACAAATCTGGCAGTTTTTGAAAAGCTCTGCATAATTATAAGTTGTCTTGCTTTCTCTGAAATTTGATCTAATTGAACAGCTACTTATATGCAGTACTTGCTTATTTGCCACCCTGAAAGCCCACACATTATTTAGAAATTACTGACTCAGATTTTCAAAACACAGCTTTATATAATTCTATAGAAAAGTGAGCAAATTTCCATCTTTAAACAGTTGAAACTTCTACTCTCTCTCTTAGTGCAGATGGTATATAATGTGACAGTGGCATTCAACATTTAGTAACGAATCAGAATTTAGTGTGGCTTAATGAGTGGGAAGATTTTTAGAGGATTTGCTTCGTATTTCTTTGTTCCTGCTTATCCATCTTTTGGTTCTGTGCTGTCATTCTGCTTTATTCATTTTGCGGTTCCCACCATGCTCTACCCCCATCTAATGGTCTAATTTTTCAACCGTCTTACTCCTGTCCTTTGATTTTGAATCTGAGTACTTTGTACTTTTGAGATATCTGCTTGGTTATGTTTTCCCAGTTATACATTTAGTGCTGGGGAGGAGAGCAAGAACAGAATAGGGCACTTTAAGCTAAGCTAAACTAAACTAAACAAAACATAACCGTTAATGTTAATGGGAACATAACTGTTAATGGGAAAATATGTCTAACTGTTTTAGAGTAAAAAAATTACTTAGCAAATTCAGTTATAAAATATTCAATGCAACCTTTCCATTGTAAGAATAAACAGAAACCATCTTTACGTAGTGTTGTATGTTTTAGAGTCTTTGATAATCGTTGAATCACTTTGAGACTACAGACACTATTTTAAAGGTGTAAAAGTTGCTTCACAGTTATAAACAGCCAGGATGCACAAACTGTGTATAAAATAGATGGGCCAGAATGATGGGGATACTCCCAACTCTTCAAATACTTCAACAGTATTTATTCTGAATATTTGATGAGAACTTCATTTAATGTCTCATCTAAAGGGCAATACCTCGAACAATGTAATAGTGAAGTAAAAGCCTAAATTATATGTTTTGGTTTGAAGTGACACTGGGAACCATACCTTCTGATTCAGAGGAGAGATTGCTCCCAACTGAATAAGCCGATGCTTCAGTGGTTAATATGCATCCGAAGTAGGATGTTTGCATGACATTCTTTCATGTGTTATTGTATAAGGTTTTGATCAATATAATTGAGTTATTGCTTTATTGAATTTAGTGTTATTATTGGTATTGATAGGTTCGGTCTTACAAAGTTTTGTTTTTTTTTAAAATTGATTATATAGTTGCACCAAATTTAAAGTACAAAAAGAGGCTATTCTAATTACCTTGACTATGCCTCCCATAAACCTCCTTTTACTTTGCTTCATCTTATCGTATTAGTATATCCTTCCATTCCATTCTTCCTTATGTAAAACAAAAGGACTTGCATTTATTATAGCTCCTTTCATGACCTCATTACTTCGCAAAGTTCTGTCACAGTAAACTAAGTATTTTTAGTATAGTCACTACTATAATATAGGAAATATGGTTGTTAATTCAGGCACAGCAATCTCCTTACAAAAGCGATATGATAGTGATAATATCATCTGTCATTAATAATATTTTCCCAGATGATGGAAATGCCTCTTCTGTTTTTTTGAAATAGTACATCCACCTGATAGGGCAAATGAGAGCTCAGTGTTTAACTAATAAAAGACAGAATTGAAATGAGAAGCATTTTCAGGATGGCAACTTGTGGAATACACATGGATCGGTACTGGGGCCACAATTACTTTTAACCTATATTAGTAACTCGGATAAAGAATGTGAAGCACTTTAGCCAAGTTTGTTGATGACATGCAAATAAGTGGGAAGACGGGGTGTTAAGGATGACAGAAAAAGAGGGATATAGACAGGTTAAGTGAGTGAGCAAACACTTGGCAGATGGAATATGATATGGGAAATTATGCTGTTATGATTAGGGGTTGAATATTATTTAAATGGAGAAAGATTGCAAAAGGCTGCATGAAAAGGAAATTTGGGGGCCCCTCATGCATAAGTCACAAAGCTAGCATCGACATTCAACAAATAATAGAGAAAGCAATGGAATTTCAGCTTTTAGTTTAAAGGGAAAAGAGCATACAAATTGGAAAGTCATGTTCTTCTGAAGAGGTCATACTGGACCAAAAATTTAATTTTATTACTCTCTCTGTAGATGCTGCCAGACCTGCTGAGTTAGTCCAGTTTTCTGGGTTTTTTTTCTGATTGCCGATATCTGCGTTATTTATAAGCTTAGTATAAGCTTTTATAAGCTTAGTACTTTGTCCTTATCATTAGGGTGTACGCTGTTTTGCTCCCTTCAAACAATACTAAAAACTGGGCTATTATAACTGTTATACAGTGCAGCACACTGAAATATAGCACTGCCACATAATTCTGCCCTTTAACGATCAAATATGGCTGCAAATGCTACCTAGTGCAAAGAACACGCAAGAAGAGGAAC